ATCAGTTACACTATTTTTTTTTTCTCTCTCTCTCTATGATACATCCCATTCTCTTCCCCCATCCCATTAAAATTTCTGGTCTCCTCCTCCTTCCACCGGATTTGTGCAAAGCTCACTTCAGAAATTGCTCCGGCTCCCGCATCCGATGACTGCAACGGCATATTCCTACAGCTAAAAACCCAGGGGATCGATGTTTTTCGTATTGTTAGAATTAAGAGAAACTTAATAAGTGTTTAAGGTTGAAATGTTGGCACATGAAGATCTGCTAGTGATGAGAAAAGATACGTGCAATCAAGTACAGACGTTTACTTCCTTTTCGTAAATTATCCCTCAATAACATTTTGATGAACTAACTTGACTCCTACTGAGTTCAAGAAAATTTTTGTTATGATGTAGAGGCCTCGTGAATACCGTCCCTGTCAATTTGAAAAAATTTCACTGTTGTATAAGCTGGCTCCACTAGCCTCGTGAATACCGTCTCTGTCAATTGAAAAAATTGAGATATGGATGTTGTAGGATGATTTTCTGTTAATATATGTCAATGTATTTTATATGTCAATGTATTTTTATGTATTTCATTGTATTCATTGTCTTTTTTTTAATTGTAATTCAATGTATCTCGTTGTATTCCATGTATTTCATTGTATTCACTGTCTTTTTTTCTCATTATATTTCAATGTATCTCGTTGTATTCTATATATTTTATTGTATTCACTGTCTCGCTATATGCCATGAATGTACTCATAAGTTTTTTTTAATTAATATAATTTATGTATTCAGATGTATTATATAATTTCTCTGAAGATTGTTATGTTTTTGGGTATTTTTCGGTTGATAATCTTTTTTATAACTGAAAATACAAATTTTGTGTGTTATAATTGAGTTTGTTGAGTTATATTAGGAGTCTATTATGTTAATTGATTCACTTTCCCTTTTAAAAACAGTATAATCTCCTATTTCACGCCGTAAATACAGTCGAATACAATAATCTGTCCAGTTGTAATCCCATGTTTCACTTCATGAATACAGTCGAATACACTCGAATAAAACAACTGATTAGCTGGACTTCCCTGGTTCATGCCTATTTTTGCTATTGTATTCATGAATACAATAGCTTAAATACATCAAATATATCTTATAACCACATAAAAGGTATCTATATCCGTAATATAGCAAATGGTATCTATAGGTGGCTAATTACTACTAAAAGATAGTGCTTTATGAAAATTTCTCAAATATATTTAGAGTTACATGTATTTAAAAATTAGCCACTTACTTTTAATGATTAGCCAATATGCTTGAACTTCAGGACATAATGTCTTCAAGTTCCAAAATTATGTAAAGAAATTCGAATCGTATGTCCTTAATTTTAAATTAGCAATTCAAAAATTTAGGATACTTAGTCCTGAATTTTCAGTTAATAGCTCACAAACTCAGGACACTAAATCCTGAATTGAGGAATTTTGGCAAAATTTTGATAAAGCGGATTATTGAGATTTGAACCCTGATTTGGAGTCGATTTTGAATGAAACTTATATATTTGGACTCGTATTAGAATGTGTGATCGAAATTTGTGAGTTTTGTCGGGTTCTGAAAGGCTGGTACAGGTTAACTTTGTGTATTTAATTAAAGATTTAATTTTTATTGATTGTGTTCGACTTTTATGGCTTGTTTGACATTATTGGGTTGTATTTGACTAGATTGGAGTCGTTTGGAGTTGGATTTTTTGAGGATTTGGCATTTTTGACGAATTTTAGGCTACTGGGTGGAGGTAAGTCTCTTGACTAACCTTATTAAGAGGGAAACTCCTAGGATTTGACTTGATTTCTATGTGTTTAAGGTATTGGGGATAGTATATATACATGGTGACGAGTGTATATGCACTTACCGAGCTTATATCATAATCGGGGTAGGTATGGAATATTTTATGACTTGTTTTGACTCTGTGCTCATTTGGTTCATGATTTATTTGACTCATGTGACTACGTTTGCTCTCTTATTCATGTTAGAAATCGTGCCTAAGATTAAGATTATTTATGAAGGCACGAGAACTTATCCTTTATATATTGAATTGCTTAGTCACATAGAGATGTCATGAGCATATATCCATATGATTTTTGTTAAGTCCATGCGCACATTTTATTTGTAATTCTTGAGCATATACATACATTTTTGAATAATGAACACTTGATTTGTACTGAGGATTTTGGCACGAAGGATAAGCATGTGGATGAGATACAGTTATGACACACAGAATTTGATGAGCGGATATTAATTTATGAGTGAAGCTATTATGCTCCTATTTGCGCTTGAATTTTAGATTCGTCCCTCTGGAGTCAGGTGATAACCCATGTTACTTTAAGCCCTGTGAGCGTGGTTGGTATATGAATTTTGTCTGGGTCGATATATGGATTTTGTATCGGATTCTGTTGGTACATGGATTATGTATCGGGGTACATGGATCTTGTGCAAGTTTGACCTTGCATTCATATTATTGACTCATTTAGAAGTATTCATTCAACTATTCATTATTATTTGACATCCTTATATGCTAGTTGGAAGTCCCGTGTTCGTTATTTGAGCATTGCTATCTTGCAATATCGTGATTGAGCATCAGTATGGTTATTTATGTACTGGAAGAGTATGCCTCATATTTGAATTATTGATGCATGTGATTCTTGTTATTCATGATATTATCTACCATCTCAGTTCTTAGTGTTATTATTATACTTGTGTGGTAAGTATTCGGAAGCATCTAGTCTTGCCACTACTTATTCGATGTTAGACTTGATACTTACATGATACCGATTGTGGTGTACTCATACTACATTTCTGCACATCTTTTCGTGCAAATCCTCAGGTTCGTGATTGAGCTTAGGAGACTACATGGAGACTTAGGATGAGCTGCACTTCATGGATCTACTTTGCAGTTCTCGAGTCCCTGTTCCTTACATATTTCCTGTTTACTTGTATTTCAGACAGCTTGTGATGTATAAAAACTTATTCTCATTTTCATAGTTTGCTCGTGTAATTGTGCCACCTAGTCTTGGGAGTCGTACAATATTTGGCCGTATTTAGGCCGTGTTTTGGTTTTATCTGATATTGTTACTGCTTTGAGATTATTTCCATCTTTAATTATTATACATCTCTGTTAATTGATGAAAATAGACTGCATGTGTTTGATTGTGAGTTTGGCTTGCTTAGCAAGTTTGGTTAGGCGCCGGCATTAAGGTGTAAATTTGGGTTGTGACAATAACTTCGAGATCATACTCTTAAATCCAGTCTCTATACATCTTGTCTTGCCGAGTTATTTTAGTGTTGACTTTGTCAACTTATTATTAATTCCTGCTTTTCACTTTTTGGAAAAGGAAAAGTAAACGTGCAGGAGGGACAGGAGCACTACACTTGTCACGCCAACTATACCAAATCCTTAAATAGGAGCCACTTGGAGTCATCAATTTAATTCTTGACCCTCTAAGAAAAAGGAGATTGATGACAACACTCTTTAACATTCTGTGGTTCCATAAACATAGAATAACCTTTAGATTTTGTGAACCAATCAAAATGTGCACTATACTAATTTAGTACTATTGGTTTCTGAATAATTTGTCTCTTGTTCTATAACAATTGGTTTCGGAAGCATCTAGTCTTGCCACTACTTATTCGATGTTAGACTTGATACTTACATGATACCGATTGTGGTGTACTCATACTACATTTCTGCACATCTTTTCGTGCAAATCCTCAGGTTCGTGATTGAGCTTAGGAGACTACATGGAGACTTAGGATGAGCTGCACTTCATGGATCTACTTTGCAGTTCTCGAGTCCCTGTTCCTTACATATTTCCTGTTTACTTGTATTTCAGACAGCTTATGATGTATAAAAACTTATTCTCATTTTCATAGTTTGCTCGTGTAATTGTGCCACCTAGTCTTGGGAGTCGTACAATATTTGGCCGTATTTAGGCCGTGTTTTGGTTTTATCTGATATTGTTACTGCTTTGAGATTATTTCCATCTTTAATTATTATACATCTCTGTTAATTGATGAAAATAGACTGCATGTGTTTGATTGTGAGTTTGGCTTGCTTAGCAAGTTTGGTTAGGCGCCGGCATTAAGGTGTAAATTTGGGTTGTGACAATAACTTCGAGATCATACTCTTAAATCCAGTCTCTATACATCTTGTCTTGCCGAGTTATTTTAGTGTTGACTTTGTCAACTTATTATTAATTCCTGCTTTTCACTTTTTGGAAAAGGAAAAGTAAACGTGCAGGAGGGACAGGAGCACTACACTTGTCACGCCAACTATACCAAATCCTTAAATAGGAGCCACTTGGAGTCATCAATTTAATTCTTGACCCTCTAAGAAAAAGGAGATTGATGACAACACTCTTTAACATTCTGTGGTTCCATAAACATAGAATAACCTTTAGATATTGTGAACCAATCAAAATGTGCACTATACTAATTTAGTACTATTGGTTTCTGAATCATTTGTCTCTTGTTCTATAACAATTGGTTTCTGAATCATTTGTCTCTTGTTCTATAACAAATTGTGGAAGAAGCTCTTCTGCACAAGCACTGAATCTGTAATCTCTCATTAGGTATTAGGATTGCATCCATTCAAGGAACTATGAGGCCATACATAAAGCCACCACCTTCAGATCAAATATGGTTCAGATTCACATCGATGCCTGATATAGATTTCCACTTAGGCTCTTTTGTATCTCAAGCGGGCATCTTTCTTCGCTCCTCATCAATCGGTTTAAGGTCAGATTGAGAAATTATCTCTGCTATACATTGAGAATGTGTCAATACATTTCTTCTCCTCATTTAACCCCTTCCCGTTGACTTAGTCATGACTTAATTATTTGGGGTTATTAACATTGAAATGCGTAACTTTAATAGTTATAACACTTTGCTAGCTTTAAATGTACTATGCTTCTCATGCAGTTATGGAATTTTCAAATTAAAATAAATTGAATGGCCGAAATCAACAGTTGATAAAGTAAACCCTCCTAAAGAGAATTTGGTTATCCATTTTGGAATAAGGCAGTAATAATAAATTGGACAGCTTCCACCTCTTGATAACAAAACCACTTTGAAATTCTCTAAAAAAAACCGTGCTAGCAATGACTAAACAATTCAGTAGATCCACAAGAGTCAAAATCCTTTAACTATGCCATGAACAAAACTATTGTAGAACACACGATGTCTACTCTTTATCCAGAAGGGAAGAAGAGTTTCCTAAAGGAAACAGGTTCATTCCCAGCCTGTGGCGCCAGCAGTAGGGGCGGCATCTGGCACAGGAACTGGAACAGGTGCAGCTGCAGTATCCCAGCCTCCTCCTTCAGCCACTGCAGTTCATCCAAAAAAAAAAGAAATGTAAAGTTATCAGTGCCGCCAAATTTTCACTAAACAATAGAAAAAAAAAATCGAAATCATCAGATGATTGCAGAGGAGAATCAACTACAGTCCAAGAGGAAAAAAGAGACGAGCAAACCACCATCCACTAACACAATCTCAGAACTTCCAACTATGATCAAATTTCTTAGCAGAAAATATGACAATAACCTTAGCAATATACAAAGGGGGATAAACGAACGATATAGAGTGACTAGTTTGGCAGTTGCTCTGTCCTGTGTCGATATCCAGAACTAATTTCATGAAACAGTATAACAAACTAACCTCCTTCACCAGACCAACCACTAGCAACTACTGGACCAGAAGGTGCAGCATCTCCAGTCCACTGGGCCTCGGGGATTTGGCTACTAGACCAGTCACCACCAAGGGCAGCACCAGCAGAGTAGTCTGCATAATCGATTGCAGGGGCTTCCTCCTCCTGTTGCTCCTTAGCCTCTTCAGGCTCTCTGTAAAAGAAGAGATCGACCTGCAACAATGGAAATTAACACAGGCAAATGAAAAACCGATATTCACAGCAAAAAAAAAGTGATAATTTATTATTAAAATTCAGTTGTACCGGTTGCAAAATGGAGCATTAAGCTATTAATTGAACTTGAGAGGAGCATGCAACCAACAAAGGCAAAATGAAATTAGAGCTTAAAGATATAGTCTTTACCATGACATCCCATTTATGTCCTTGGTTAATGGAACCCCGCATCTGCAGTACCATCCTTCCTAAGAGCCAGAAAAGAACACCAATACTATGCTTTCCTTTGTTATTAGCAGGGATACCAATGTCAACATAGCGCATTGGAGAGTCAGTGTCACAGAAAGCAATAGTTGGG